GGGGGGGGGGGGAGGGGAAGAGAGAGAGAGAGAGAGAGAGGTGCTTACGTGTCACAGCATGCATGTGGAGGTCATAGGACAACTTTCAGGAGTCTGTCCTCTCCTTCCACCATATGAGTCCCATAGATTGAACTTGGGTCGTCAGGCTTAGTGGCAAGTGCCTTTACCCGCTGAGCCATCGCTGGCCCTAGTCTTTTTTATATTACTGCTTCCCAGGAACATCTTTAGACATTTTGTTCCTAATTGTCCACCATGAAATCCTATTGCCACAGATAAACTGTGTATCTATGCACTGTGTTTAAATCTGTTCTTTACACAGAGAAAAGAAAAAGGTTTCACACCCTTCTCCCAAACAGTTGCGCTCCCTGAGGGTAATATTGTCCTGAATGCACATCAACCATGAAATCAAGTTCATGTCCATGGATGCCTGGCACTCCCTTCCCACTCACCTTTCGTTTTTAAAAAGCACATGTACATCATTAAATTAGGTATGTGTCCTCTTTTCCTCAAGTACCTTTTTCCCCAGATCAAACATCAACAAAAGGGTAAAGTTAGCCATGGTCTCACGGACTCTTGCTTTAATATTAAGGACTGTGAGTAATTGACCTTTCTCTTTCTCCTGGAACCTATAATTGTTATTAACATTTCCCCAGAAACCTGACAAGGCTAAGATTGCAGAGGAAAAGCAGCTGAGCATGCAAGAGCAGGCGCCAGGACCAGCTGCCTTCCAGGTTCCCAGTCTGGGTCCCTGTCTGGAGAGCAGGTGACAGTCATGGACACGCCACACCTACTCCTCATGCAGGGGGCTGCCTGGTGCCCTCAGTCAGGCTCCCTGCTCTGCTCACAACCAAAAGGTGGTGCTGAGAATTTTCAAATTTCTCTGAAACTGAAGTTGCTCCCCCCTCCCTTTAAAAAGAGTCTATAATTTTAGATCTATTAAAAGAACCTACTTAGCACTCAATAGATAGGAGCTCTTACCACAAGTGAGCAGAATAGGAGCAATTCACTAAGTTTCTATTAAAACTTTAACAAAAATTTGAAAGCATCCGTAATTAAAGGGCTCCCTGGCACAGGATGACAAGAGGTGGAAGGTGTTCTATTTATACCAAGTGAAATGCCAACTGCTTCAGTCCAGCCATTTCTCTGACATTCTGATAGCATCAATAATCAATAATTGCATACTCAAACACCACAGTGTTGCTGTATTTTAGATTATTATTTGTGCTAGAAAGTGTCAAAAATTCATAACTATTCCTTTCACCAACCATAAAATGGACTTCGGACACTGACTTGTAAAAGTTTCACACATTCCCAGCCAATTAGTGTCCAGTTTGTCACTGTGTAACACTTCAGACGTTGAGGCAGGACATTGGCATTCTCTTTCCAGTGTCTGTGAAAGTTCATTTAGCATGAGAGTTTCATTTGCACGTCCTTTTAGTTCAATTAACACACTGAGTACTGCTTGAATTTGCAGAAAATTAAGCTGACTTAATTAGGGCAGATGTCAAAATAATTAGCAGGCCTCTGGTAGCTAACTAAGCTATTAAAAGCAGTACAGCTGTAATTAAGCCAAAGGTGTAATCTTTATAAAAGAATTCCGCATATGTGTACAAGTGGGAACAAATGGAGTAGCACTCTCACATAAAAATAATACCACATATAAATGTGGCCCTCCTCTGTAAGAACTCACCTCAAAGCTAAAGGCTCTGATACTAAAATGTAAAGAAAGGAGCTGGAGAGATGGCTCAGCAGTTAAGAGCACTGGCAGCTCTTGCAGAGGACTTAGGTTCAGTTCCCAGCACCCACCTGGTGCCTTAACAACCATCTGTAACCCAAGTTCCAGGGGAATCCGGAGCCCTTTTTTGACCTCCACAGGCATTGCACAACACATGTGCATTTACGTACATGTAGGCAACACACTCATACACAAAAATAAAAATAATAAAGAATAAATAAAATGGAAAGAAAACAAAAATGTTCTGCAATAGAAAATATATTCCCACACTGGCATGGGAATAGGGGTGAGGGGCAGAAGCTCACTGTGTATTCTGGCTGGCCTGGAACTCACTGTGAAGGCTAGGCTAGTCTCTAACTCAGAGAGAACCACTGCCTCAGCCTCCTGAGTGCTGGGATTAAAGGCGTGCACCACTGCAGCCAGCCCCATACATACATGTCTTAAAAGGTAACTATTCACAGGTAAAAAATATACAGAGAATACCTGTAACAAGAATGTCTAATACCAGAGTTTGATTTTCACCATGTTTCTTAGATGGGACATGCTGTGAAGGACACTAAGTTTGAAAACCCAGAATTGGCGGAGCAGATGTTAGATTTAAGAAGAAAAATTTACAGAAAGAGAGAGAGAGAGAGAGAGAGAGAGAGAGAGAGAGAGAGAGAGAGAGTCTTATAGTCATAAAACTGACTAGGGAAAAGAGCAAATCAATCTCCCAGGAAAAATAATGGGCTTTTTTTTTTAATACACAAAGCTAAACTTTGAAAGAGATGTCGCATCTCCATACTAAACCTTGATCACTGCCAACTCCCATGAGCCCTCAAGTTCTGCTGATGTTTGAAATATGTGGAAGGGAGGCTTGGTCTGGCACCTGAGTGACCTTTAACACTATGGAAGCACAATGTTACCAGAGTTAGAGTCAGAGCCTGGGCCTTGACAGCACCCTACCCCCACCCCTGCCAGCCCTGCCAACAAGTCTGGTTCAGCCACTCATCCTCTATAGTCCAATTAAAGACATGGTTAATAGCAGAAAGCAGAAAAAGAAGATTTATTCGCGTGGCCACACTGGGAAGAACAAGGAAGTCCAGTGACACCCGCCCCCAAGTCCTATAAAAACGTCTGACACTTATCAATAATGCGACATCTCCCCCTATCCCAAGCTCCCCCTCTGGCTGGTGCGAGGCTTCGGCCTTCTCCTAGTATGAGATTCCTGGGCAAGTTCCAATTTCTTGGGGAGCATTGTCTCAACAGCCTGATATCCAAACTCTGAGGGGGACAAGCTTCTCTTTAGATGTTATCTTTGTTCCCGCCAGGATGGTTACAAAAAAGAAAACTTAGGGTGCCAATGAATCATGCCCAGAACAAACCAGCTCTCTGTCACCAGTCTGAGGCCTGGCAAGTGAGCGTGAGCACCTTGGTAACAATTCAGAGGATGTCCTGCAAACCAGGTCCACCCTGTAGGAAGGAGGGCGAGGGAAGAGCAGCGCCTGTGCCAAAGGTGGGTGCAGCCTGACTTCAAGAACTCTCCCCCTAGACCAGGGGCCACGTGCTGTTGGCTTCCCTCTCGCTCAGGCTGCGGGGAGGGGGGCGGGGAGGACACGCAGCTTTACCGTCGCTGCTCACATGTTCAGCAAAGTTCCTACACCTACTCAAATCTTAAACATAGAAACAAGGGCCTACAAAATGGTATTTTAATTTCTGTCAGAACCAAAGCCACACTCTCGGAATAAGGCAGTTACAGCAGCGCTCCGCACTTGAAAAGAACGGTTCCATTTTTTTTAAAAAAAAAAAAAAAAAAAAAAAAAAAAAAAAAAAAAAAAACCTTTGCAGAAACAAAAATCACGAGAGCAGCGCCACCTAGCGGCACTGCGAAGCGCTGCGCCGAGGAACTGGAGGCTCCATAGCCGGGCAATTTGTTTCCACTAAAATCAAGACCACCAAACTGGAAAACCTACAGTGGAATCTGAGCTTCTTTAGAAACCAGTAACGAAACATGTAAGATAAAATTCCATTTATATTTATAATTAATTGACACGGGCTTTCCAGGTAAAATACAGAATGTGTACCTGGTAGTATTTGGAACATACTTATTCTATAAGAAAGGATCCATGTTTATGTAACGCTCCAATTTAACCAAGAATCCCGTATTCTGATGTATTAAATCTGACAGATCTACACTTCCTATATTCTGAAGCCCTGTCTCAAAGTTCTCACCCCAGAGACCAGAGATTCACTTCCACAGCCAAGCCTTCCAGTTCATTCTGGGGCAGTCCTGTGTCAAGTAAGGCTGACCATCACTCCTAGCAAAGGGCATAGAGACCCTCTATTCTATGAAGCATAAGGTTTAGGGTACATGTTGGGTGAAGGTGGAAGGGGTGGAGAGGTCTGGGGCATAAAATAAAAGCACTAGAGAGGGACTATTGGCTTAGTGGGTAAAGTACCCGCCAAGCAAGTGTGAAGATGTGCATTCTGATCCCCAGCATGCACATAAAAGCCAAGCAAGATGGTGACCACCTTGAGCCCAACATTGCGGTGGGGTAGAGACAGGAGCTCTCTGGAGCTTGCTGGCGAGCCAGTATAACCAAAAAGGCGAGCTTGTGATTCAATGAGAGACCCTGTCTCAAAAAATAAAGTGGGGAAGGCAACACCTGGTCTTGATCTTTGGCCCCTACACACATGTGAGCGCTTGCACACACACACACACACACACACACATACACACACACACACACCAGATAGTAGAAGAGTACAGAGAAGAGATGATCAATTCTGAAGGGAAAGGAGAAAGGGGAGCTGACAACAATTGAGTCTTAACAGGAAATACGATCTTTCCAGTCTATGGACACAGCAAGGTTACTTCCCCTGATTGTGATACACAAGGATAATGAACCTGGGCTCAGAACAGTTATAGCTGCAACCACTGCCTTGTCAAAAAAGCCCCACCACACCCAGGCAATCTTCTCTTTAGGAAGAGGTCATTAAAATGGGCTTGTGTTCCACTTTACTGATATTAAAAAATCTTACTGTTTTCCAGCACTAGCTGGTCTTCCTCTTAGTTTTTGGTGGATTTGAACTTGCCCTTCCCTAAACATAGCAGCTCCTGAGATCTTGCACACACCTTTGCAGTGGACTGCAATTGCCCCTTCGGTGTTCTCACAGATGTTCAGGAACCTTCGAACGATGTTGTCACTGGGGGTGCTGCCATCGATAAAGAACAAGTCGTAGTGCTCGAAGCCAGCGTCTGTGAAGCGCTTTGCCTCATAAATCTTTTTGTTCAGTCTCACGATTGCAGTCACATTATGCTTTTTGAAATAAGGAAAGTAGGCTTCAGGGGCGTGAAGAGGGTAACCTACGGGGGAAAGGGGGCGGTAAGCAAAAGGCATGTATTTCATCTCACATAAGCAACACAGTATGCAAATCTCAACAGAGCTTCGGAGGAAAGAGTATTTCATGAATGTGCAAAAGGCCACCACAGAGCCGTAGAAAAGCAGTTGGCCCAGCTAGAAACACTAAAGAAGCCTAAGACTAAAACAAAAACCTTCTTAAGTACTGGAAATGCTTATTCCAGTTCAAAATTCAATTTTTAGTATTCAAATCCCGGGACCCTAATTCTCATTTGAACCTCCAAAGGCAAAGTACCCAGTGCAGAGTAGGCTTGAACATTATTCTTTGCTTAACAAATATATTTCAGCTTCAATTAAAGCCTTTTTAAAGCCAGCGGCACAGTTTTAATCCACAACACGATTCCCTGCAAGGTAAGTGTATGATTATTTATCATTTGCAGTGACACAAGCCACAATTGCTTATAATTTCTCTTTACAATCTCAAAATAATCTCCTTAATCTGCCTCATCTAACTGCTGGGTATTGGAAGACGCTGCCTAAAGGGTCCTATTAGACAGGAGGAATTTGTTCAAGAGCTTTAGTGTACAACATGCTGACTGTGGTTAATAACAATGTGCTGGACCAGTGAGGTTCTCACCCCTAAATGGGAGGTGAAACATGTTAAAATTGACCGCCACTCTACAATGTATACATACTTTTAAACAATCACATTATATAGCATAAATATACACATGTTCACTCAAAAATATTAATATTTTAAAAGAAACTTAAAAGAGTGACTTCTGGTAGACGTTTTCTTTAGGGCAGAGGAGAAAGACACCAGATGCCGACATGCCCCACATCAAGCGAATAGTCCTGGGAGTTTCTAGGCAGCTGAGTTACAGATCTGGTCTAGCCAATTACTAGGGGCTTTGGCCACAGCAAGCCTTGTCTAGCAGTCCCAAAGGGTTAAAAGGACTAAGTTTTCAGCACGTCAATAGGTGACATACCTATTTAGGGTTCAACCATTCAGGGTTCACCAATTCCTGCCTCACCAGATTCATGGCAGAGGGTCAAGTGAAATGACCTCCTTAGGAATTAATTCATGATGGCGTGCTCCACAGGTGAGAGCAGGAGAGGCCTGCAGAGTGAACCAGAGGGCTTCTACCCTGTGCCCCTGCTGTGTGTCCTGAAGCCTTACATCCTGCTCGTCCTGTCATTTTTCTTTTCTCCCGGCTCCGAGCCAGCCCTTCCGTACCACCACTCCGTAATACTGGGCCCATCTGTGACTTTCTGTAGACTACCTTTCTAGCATCCTTCCTGATGCTTCTCAGAGTAGGAGACAGCCAAAGAGCAACCAAAGAAGGGTCTTCTTCCTGTCCAGCCAGCGCTCCCAGCTTAGCCTGGCACTCCCAGCACAGTGGGCTGAGTCTCTCCATCAGCTGGCATTTCCTTCAGAAGTCTGAGCACCAGCTGCAGCTCCTCCTCAGCCCTCCTCCGTCCTCCTGACTCTGTTTATATTTCGTTCATCCTCCCCACCCCCAGCCTTAACGGTACTCTAGCTACACTAAGTTCTCCATAATATTCTGTGTTCTTGTTGATGTCTTTCTTGTTTCTTAATCTTCTTCATAACAAACTCTTTGTATTAAATTTCCTCTGTATGGCTAAAATCAAGAAATCTGACAATGGGGGCTGGAGAGATGGCTCAATGGTTAAGAGTACTGAGGGTGCACTGACTGCTCTTGCAGAGGACCCAAGTTCGATTCCTGTCACCCACATGGCAGTTAACAACTGTCCATAACTCCAGTTCCAGGGGATCTGAAGCCTTCTTCTGACTTCCACAGGAATTTCATGACATGGGTGCACTTACATATAAGCAGGCAATACACTCATACACATAAAATAATAAAATAAATCTGACAACAAATGCTTTTGAGGATGTGAGGAAAGAGGACCCCTTATTCACTGTGGGTGAGAGTAAAAACTAGTGTAGCCATTATGGAAATCCGCATGGAGGAGGTCTCAAAGGTTAAAAGTAGAACAACCCCCTGACCTGGCTGCACCGTACCTGAACACACAAAGAGCTCCACACCCTACCATGGGGACACCTGTACATCCATATTTATTGCTGCCCTGTTCACAACAGCAAGGAATTGGAACCAGCTTAGATTTCCATTAGCAGATGGATGAATAATAAAAAAAAATATGGCATGAATTCACAGTGGACTTTTATTCAGCTGTAAAGAAAAAAAAATGAAATGATATTTGCAGGAAAATGGATGGATCAGGAAAGTATAATACTAAGTGAAGTGATCCAAACTCAGAAAGACAAAGCCTGCATGTTCTCTCTGATTGGCCTATCTTAGCCAGTAATATATATACATATGCACATGAATGTCAGTATAAATGTGAGCAAAGCCTCAAAAACTAGAAAAGAAACTAAGGGAGGGTAAAAAGTGGTATGAGGGAGGAGGAGGAGGCAAGGGGACATGTGTGTCATGAAAATGGGCAGGAAACTGCAGGAGGAGGTTACAAGAGGTGTTGGGAGGTCAGGGGGATGAAGGAGATGGAGGGGGAGGAGAATCTACTAAAACACACTTTGCTCAAAAACCCTACAGCAATATCTAATACCTTGTGTGCTCATTTACAACATAAAATAAAGAAATGCTTTTAATAAAACTTCCTTCCTATGGAAAACCTGGTGTGGCTCCCACTCTCCATCGTGGACCCTGCAGGTACGCTGTCCCCTCTGGATAGTGCTCATCCCCTACTTCTAAAGCCTTTTCTTGCCATTTGTGAGCCTAAAAGGTACTCTTGGCCATGGTCAACAAAAGATGGAGGCAGATGGGCTGGAGAGATGGCTCAGCAGTGAGGTGTACTGGCTGCTCTTGCAGAGGACCCAGGTTTGGTTCCCAGCACCCTCATGGTAGCTAACTACCATCTGTGACTCCAGTTCCAGTGGCTCTGGTGCCCTCTTCTGGCCTCTTCAGGCAGTGCATGCATGTGGTTGCACATACATACATGTAGGCAAAATACTCATAAAAGTTTAAAAAAGATGGAGACAGAACTGGAAGGCAAGCTTTAGTAATCATAGCTGGGCTGCTCTTGAGCAAACAGGTTATACAGGGCCATTTTACATCTCCTTATATGCATAAAGAGAGGGAGGAAAAGAGCATGCTTTTCTACTTATCAAAACCAAGTCTGTTTTCCTAGTTGATTTCCTTGCTAAAATTATTTCCCAACAACAGATTTATGAGCCAAAGAGGAAAAGGACTATAGTTGCCGCGAGGAAATGAGAGCTTTTCTGCTATATAGAGGGCTCCAAACACGTGGGAAGCCCCCCAGTGTGGCAGCTGATGAGAGCCTCTGCCTGGGTTCCTGGAATCCCTTGAAGCTCCATGATGGGCCCCACCTGGTTTGATGTCATCTGTTCCCCCACCACCAAAATGAGAGACTATCTCTGTTCATGTATGAATTTCCATCAGAAGAAAATGGAGGGTTTAGCTACCACACCTATTACAGCTTGAGGCAACCCATGGGTATCTTTTGAGAAAAGAACCTTGGACATATTGTACAAATACATCACTAAGATAAGTGACGGCAGTAATCTCTCTTAACAGTACTGATCACTTACTATGCCCCAGCCACCATCAAAGTACTGCTCCAAGTGGATTATCTCATCACATCCCACAATTACGAAATGAGTAATGCCTGGACAGTTTACTGGCCTGTGAACACATAGCACCTGGGCCAGTTTCATTTCAGATAAGACTGTAGGCCTCCAAGTAATAGAACATAAATATTAGGAACTGTACTTCCTAGAATTGGTGTCAAGATCTTTTAAAATAATCTACATAACCTATGACCTCTCAACAAGTGTTTGTGGGTGTCATTAGTGTATTCAGACGCTTGTTGGGGGAGGGGTTGTGATTTAGCACTGTGTATCTTGCCTCCTGGGAATCCAGTCCACCGAAGCTGATGCAGTGCTCATCCCACCCTTACTCCATTGGGCCACTAGATGGCGACCTGGCATCAGTGAGGCACAGCAGAGCTGACGCGTTGGCAAACCAAACACAGAGAAACTCCCGAGCTAAAAAAAGATTTTTAGTCCCTCAATTTAAGGTTAGGAAACGGTAAGTAGATTTTTGTGGAAACACAAATCATGACATCTAAATGCAGCAACAAAAAATGGTGAAGTGGGGTTTTAGATATGATGATGGTGATGAAAGAAAACAGTAAATCTTTGCAGGGGAGGTGCAGATAGAGTAGGAAATCAAAGTATCCTCAAACTATATTATATGAATATCAAAAAAATCTATAAAAAAAAAGAATAAGGGGCTGGAGAGATGGTTCCACAGTTAAGAGCACTAGCTATGCTTGCAGAGGACCCAGATTGGATTCCCAGCACCCACATGGCACCAAACAACCATCTATAACTCCAGTTCCAGGGGATCCATCGCCCTCTTCTGGCCTCTGCGAGCATTGCATGACACAGGTGCACTTACATACATGCAAGCAAAGCACTCATAAACTGTTCCACCCCCATGATCATCGAGCAAAGTAGGAACTGTTGTGTACATGAATACTGTTTTCACAGAATTATGTGCTTGCCCATAAATTATCAATCTTAAGGTCATTGTGTCTGTGTGTCTGTCACTACCTCTTGCCTAAGTAATGTTACTAGATAAAAAGAGCACAGATGAGTAGAAAATTAGTGCGAATGAGGAAACTCACGGAACTGATGATGTTTTACTCAAGAAACATAGAACGTGGGCTAGTAGGATAGCTCAGCAGGTAAAGGGACTTACTACCAAGACTGACAACCTCAGCTCAATCCCCAGGACTCACATGGTGGAAGAGGAGACTCCTACAAGCTGTACTCTGACCTCCACGCACATTCTGTGGCACACATACACACACACACACACATATTTGTAAAAAAGTTTAAGCACATGAGGCTGGAGAGATGGCTCAGCAGTTAAGAGCATTGACTGCTCTTGCAGTAGACCCAGGTTCACTTCCCAGCACCCACATGGTGGCTAACAACCATCGGTAACTCCAGTTCCAGGGGAACTTCTGACCTCCTTGGGCATTGCATGACACGGGTGCAACTACACACATGCAGGCAATATGCTCATGTATATAAAATAATAATAAAAAATAAGATTTTTTTAAAAGTTGAAGCACAAAACATTTTTATTGTTTTCTTTCTTTTCCTAAAGTGTGTGTGCTCATGGCTACACTTAACGTTGCAGATAAGTAGTTTAATTATTGGCAGCTAGAAAACTGTTATGTGTGTTGGTACAATAGAACTAGCTGTATCCATAAGCCAAGAGCTTGGTGGAAGAACCAGTTCTGCCTCTTCCTGTGCACCCTTGGGCAAAGTCCCCACTGACAAACCTCAGTTTCTGTGTCTGTTAAAAGAAATAACAGTGTCTGCATCTTAGGGTTATGTGAACGTCAACTGAGGTAATGCTGTCATTGGCTAGCAACTCGCCCACAGTGAGCACTCAGTGAATGGAAGATTGTCAGGATCACCAGGTCATTTCACCAAGGTTACTCTGACATGTACTCTCCAGGCAGGGTGGATCTCACACCCACCGGCAGAATTCTGCACTCTCCTCATTGGTCTGCCCAGTCTGCTGCTCAGATTCTTCATCTGCTCAAATAAACTGAGCAGTCTGTTCACCACAGCCTGAAAACTTGAGGGGTTTTGTTGCTGCTTGTGCGTTCATTTGTTTGTTTGTTTTTCAGACAGGATCTCACAGACAGGATCTCACTGTGTAGCCCCAGCTGGCCTGGGACTCACTATGTGTACACCCAATGCCTGGCTTAAAACTTGTGTTTTAAAACAAGGTTATAGGGGGCTGGAGAGATGACTCAGTGGTTAAAAGCATATACTGTTCTTGCAGAAGACCTGAGTCCAGGTCCCAGCACCCATGTCAGGCAGCTCACAACCACCTATAACTCCAATTTCAGGGGATCTGATGCCTTCTTCTGACCTCTGTGGGCACCTGTACTCACATGCACATACTGACAGACACACGCACATAATTGAAAATAAAATAAACCTTTTAAAAAAAATGTGTAAGCTAAAACAGGGTTATGGCTCCACCTACTGGAAGTTTAATGGTTAACACTGTTCAATTTTGAAAATTACAAATAAATATTCTTTAAAGGATATTACCAAGGGAGAGAGTTGTACAAGGAAACGGAGAAATTAAAGGTGACGTAAATAAATGTTTAGATGGTAAAAGGAGAAAAAACCTACCATTTTCAATTTTGCTTTTAGGATGTGGTCCACTAAATGCTAAAAATTTTCCTGGAACGATCCAGTTGAAGTCCCCATTTTCAACACGCTGACAGAATTTTTTTTGGAAAAAGAGAAGAAAAAATGTTTTATGATTTTATATGACAGGAAATTCTTACAAATAAAACTTTTCACATTATTAGCCTAGACTCATTGGACTTACAAAAGAGAAACCAATATAGTTTAAATAAGCACATGCATCTGATTTACAAAATGCTATTTATAAATCCAATTCATTTAAGAAAAATTTTTACCCAGACTATGAAGAGTTTAGACTGTATGAAAAGTTACTTGCTTAGAATAAGTTTGTCTCCTCGTTACTCTACAGTGAATAACATTAAAAAAAATTGCAATTTATTTTAAAGTATGGTTTTTTTTGCAATAAATAAAATGAAGTAGGAGAAAATGGGAACTATAGGACATAGTAAACATGCTTTAAACAACAACAAAAGAATCATAAGCATCAGTTTCACGATGAACCCACTTCCAGATCCTTCGAGGGTTTTTTGCGTGTGGATGTCTGCTATCAGTGCTAATTACAGACATGGAAATGGCAGGAAGCTGGAAGGAGGGAACAGACACACTAAGTCCTGCCGGTATTCCACAAACCTCTTAGCCAAGGTTTCCTGCAGGGGGCGCCAAACCCAAACAAAGGTGGACCATAAAGGTAGGTAGGTGCTCTGGCTAACTGGTCATCCTGTGGGAAAGCTGACTGGAGTCTGACTTTCCAAGTAGATTTTCCAGTGACATCTCCATCTTTGAAATGTTGGCACTCTTTAAATCAGTTTTAAATACTATAAAACCAAAAGAAATGTACCTGTGGGCTGAATTTATCATCGACTCTCAGCCTCTGTCCAGTCTATATATTCTAAGTGATCTTCAGAAAAGGCCTGAAGACCACCAAGAAATGCCCCACACACCTTCCCACATTCCAGGGTCTCCTTGGGTTTTCTTCCATTTTCTTCCCTTTTCTGTGTACCACTAACCCACTGGGCACTGGAACAGGGCACAGGTTACAACTAAGACTATAAGAAACTGGGAGACATCTGTGCGATACATCACAAAATATCTGTGCCTCTGTGCGTCCAGTCCCAACCATGGCCACAGTCTCCATCTTCAGAACACGCTTTCACATAAAGAACTCTCCCTCTAGTGTGTGACAAGAACAAGGGCCTCCACGGTAGGAATCTAAGGAAGTAGATTCTATACTCTACTACAAGTAGACAGTCAGCAAACACTGTTCAATAAAGTCCTCAGTAAACATTTACTAAATAAATTAATAATGCCATCGAGGAAATCAGCACCACTACTCCATTTATATTACCCTTTAGCACTGCCTTGAAAAGCAAATCTTTGCTGGACATCTTTTTTTATTTCTAAAGTGCAGGCATATCTTTTCAATCGTGAAAAGATATAAACGAAACTTTACATGACATCATGTAAATGTATCCATTGTTCAATCTAATTGTCATGAACATAATCTCTATATAACACCTTAAGTAAAATCTAATAGACATTATTATTGTGTGCATGAGTAGCTATCTATTTACAGTAATTCAAATAAAGAATCAAATGTACAACTTTTCATGACAAACAATTTCTTATTTAAATAAAAGTCTAATGATTCAACACCTCCTTTGAATAACAATTAAGCTTAATATAGTATTTAAAAATTTAAGAATAATGGTGCGTGTTAATCATCAAAAGACTGAAGCCAGGGCTGGAGAGATAGATCAGTAGTTAACAGCACTGGCTGCTCTTACAGAGGTTCTCGGTTTGAATCCTGGCACCCACATGGCAGCTAACAACCATCTGTAACTCCATCTCCAGGGAATCCAATGCCCTCCTCTGACACTGCACAACACGGGTGCACTTACATACATGTAGGCAATACATTCATACACATAAAATAAAAATAACTAATAAAATATTTTTTAAAGAGTAAAGCCAATTCTTCATGACTAGAAGAGAGTAGATTTTTGTGTTCGCTATTTCAGTATCCTTGGCCACCAAGAAGGTCAGGTTACTATCTTGTGTTATACCATCTCATTTTTACTGTAGCCATCTGTTTGGTTAAATAGTAACCTTTTATAATCAATCATATGGAAAAGAGGCAATACCCTCAGTATGATAAGTTCACTCATGGAATCAAAATAATATGCTTATAAATCTTCCTGATTGAAAGGATAAACATTCGGTCCTATTTATCTCTATTTAGTAGCCTGGGGGAGGTTTGCAGAATAGGTCTTGGGTTTAAATATGAAAGAAAAAAAATAGTAGGGAAGTTGGAAGTCTTAACTGACCAACAGTATAAGATTACTTTGATAATCATCCAGAAAATGCCACCTTTTACAGTAATTTATACAAATTCTAATATGCATCAGTAATAGAATAAAATGACGCAAATCTGTTTTCTTAATTAAACACACTTCAAAGAATCTAGATCAGACAGGAACTTCAGTACTGTCCAATCCTACCCCACTCTATAAAGAAACTTCTAAGCAAAGATAAAGCAAGAATATTGATTTAGTGTCTTCTAATGTAAAGTCCACTATTATCAAATACTAGCTAGAAAAACCATGTTCTACACTATAAGAAAACCCCAGACAAAAGTCAAATTCCTAAAATGGATACGTACAGATATATGTAATTATTATTTAGACCTTACTATAGTATTCTCCAGTCCACAAAAAAACTTCAGATCTCTCTTGAATGGCTAACTCTCCTGGTGCACTTAAAATATAATTTGACTTTTCATGAATCTCTACACTTGTAAGAAATATATTTGTATCTGTGTTGTACTGGTCACAAATGCACTTGGGCTTTTTACCATTGTGATAGACCCACAGTAAGAAAAGACGGTCCTTGAGGCTAACTGTAAGATTATCAAATGTATTTTCTGTATCTCTCTCAATAATGCTTTCTGTTCATCAATCCATGTTTTCCTGGACAACATGGATAAACAGTCTTGAAGTCCAATCAGCACACACTCAAACATGTGCTGAGTCTTTATTATATACCAAGGACTGTAAGTGCTGCTACACAAAATAATCAAACACATTCTCTGTGCTTTCAGAAGGTTCGAGAGCAGGTAGGAATGACAAGTACCAGTGATAATAATAAGAGAAAATATGAATTTCACCCTATCCTGTGAAAGACTGCACCAGGTAGCTCAATTAATCCTCACAATAGCCGTAGGAGGTAAGAGCTCTTTTCATTTCCATTTTACTCATTAAAAAAAGTTGCGCTAAGTATTGATAAACACCATCTTAGAGGTACATCAGACATAAAGGATAACAGAAAAGGCTGTTTTAAAATTTAAGAAAACAGAATAGAACTGCATTGTTTTTTAAAAAAATAATTTTAGGCCAGGCATGGTGGCGCACGCCTTTAATCCCAGCACTTGGGAGGCAGAGGCAGGCAGATCTCTGTGTGTTCGAGGCCAGCCTGGTCTCCATAGCGAATCCAGGCCAGCTGGGGCTACCCTATCTCAAAAAGATAGGGATACCCTATCTCAAAAAGACCAAAAAAAATAATAACAATTTTAAAAGTTTTTTTTTGTATTTTCCTAACTTCCAAAGCAATTAATTCATGCTGACAGTACAGATGCATGACGCAAATGCAATATGCCATGAAGAGGGACACTTTATGAGCTTAAAGCAAAGTAAATATTTGAGTTGTTTGGTTAAAATTAAGTTCCCATGCCCTTTGGCTCTAGATAATAATCAAATTCCAGATTATTAATTTAATTCTGCTTTTGAGTGAGACAGTGTGGTAGAGGAAATGGGAAGTGTCCAATGTGGGTGAGTGCTCTACCTCAGCTAATAACCACTGGGAGGGAGGGAGTAGACAGTGGGGGAGGGACAGAGACAGTGGGGGAGGGAGAGAGACTGAGGGAAGGAGAGAGACAATGAGGAAAGGGAGAGATACTAAGGGAGAGAGAGACAATGGGGGAGAGAGACGGTGAAGAAGGAGACGGTGCGCGGGAGGACGGGGGAGGGCGTTTAGGAGATCCTCCGGTCAGTCCAGGGCAGTGAACACCTCTTCAGACACAACCACAAGAAGCAAAGATTCAGTGCACGTTTGCTAATGCCATTCTAACGTTCAAGTCACGAAGTCTTGGAACAGCACTACAAACATTGTTGAAGCACAAAAGCAGGTATACTCAGTTAAAGAAAGTGAGTTCAATCAGAAATCACAAAGCCCTACAGAACAGCAGAATCTCAAGGCGGGCAAAGGACACGAACGAATGGACTTGCAAGGCAGACTGAGGAAGATGAACAGAGGTGACAGAGGAGAAATGCGAGAGGCGCCACCGGACAGGTTAGGGAAAGAAAGTGAGCTTCCAGAATTAGAGATTGGCCACAGAGTGATTCAAGGAGGAAGACCAAGCTCACCACTTGGTTTTGGTCACTCCTGTGCTGGCAGGAACCGTATTAGCAGATTTTTGAAGGCAAACATAGACCATAAATAGTTATAGAGACCACTGCCCTCATGACTTTGGAAGTTAAAGAAAGGACACACCTCTAAAGGACACACAAAAACAAGGGGCTAGAAAGATGGCTCTGCAGTTAAGAATGCTTACTGCTCTCTGAAGGACTTGAGTTCAGTTCCCAGCACCGATGTTGGGCAGCTAACAACTGCCTGCCACTCCAGCTCCAGGGGATCCAACGCCCTCTCTCGCCCCCAAGTGTACCTGCATGTTAGGTGCCCATACCCATACCCAGACACACACACACACACACACACACACACACACACACACAAATAAATCTTTTTTAAAAAATAATAAAAGAGAAAAGGAGGAAGTGGGAGAAGAAAAAGGAGAGGAGAGGAAAGGAGAGAGATCAAACAATAATTAAAAGGGAAGAAAAAAACATGGCAAATTGCTTAGGAGAGAATAAACCTAAAATAATAAAAGAGAAAAGGAGGAAGTGGGAGAAGAAAAAGGAGAGGAGAGGAAAGGAGAGAGATCAAACAATAATTAAAAGGGAAGAAAAAAAACATGGCAAATTGCTTAGGAGAGAATAAACCTACGAAGTTTTATAG